TTTTCTGTTTTTTTCTTTTTTTTTGTTGGGGGGAGGGGGGGGTGAAGGAAAAAGGGGAGGGAGGTGGGAATGAATATGAGCTTAGAAATGAGGGCGACCTTCTTACCCTACAAGTCTGGTTTTAATGTGAATGCCTCCCAAAGTAAAGAGGGGCTTTTTTATAGTTGGCGCCGAGCAACCGTTGTGTGTCTCCATTGGCAGCTACATTGCTTGAGACGTTGCTGAATGAATCTTTGGAAACGATGCTGTCCTTGGAAAGTAAATATATGGCACAGCTCAACGAAGGTGATACTGCCAGTGATAAAGGAGGAATTGATGCGCGTTTGAAGCCTCAACAATTGACCAATACATCTTTGCTAGGCGATGAAAGTTTTGATTTGAATAAAATTCCTGTGGTAAGGATTTTTTTAAAATTCAAATTTTTGCATTTTTTTCTCAAAAACTTGCACATACGTCAAAAGATATGCCAATTGTAGCAATCAACTTGACCGTGGAAGCCTAAATGGCGAAGGGGCGATAGAATACTGCATGAAAGAACAATATGAGAAAAGAAGGTAAGAGTGCGATAAGACGTTTCGGTCCATTAAGTCATATAAGCCTTAACTCAACACCGCGACAGGACCTCATCAGTATGACAGTCACAGTGCTTAATGGAAAAGGAAAAGAGAAAGACAACAGAAAAAAGCATAAGGAAAAACGATAAGAATGGCGATTAGAGTGGGGTAAAGAGGGAAGGAAAAAGGAAGAAAAAAGTTATAAAAAAAAGTTTTTTTTTTTAAAAAAAGTTTTTTGCTAATAGAAATTTCTGCCTCATCTATCTTAAACTTGGATCGTTATAATTCATAGTGTGGTTCACTATCTATCCAACTTTTTTTAGCCAGTGCTTTACCACATACTGTTAACGCTGTTTTGCCTTTTGAGAACTTTAGCAACATAGCAGGTCCCATGTTAGAAGCACTTGTTTCTGCTTTAGATAGCAGATCTAACGTAAAATTCCTATGGCAAGGATTTTCTTGCTTTGGTTTTTAGATTTTCTGCTTTGAATTTTAGATTTT